AGGAGGCTTGTAGAGTGCTGGGGGGGGGGGAAATGAGCAAAAAATGACCTATTTTTCACTCATTTTTGCCCTTCCTAGCCCCCAGGAGCACTCTGGAAGCCTCCTAAAGACTGTGCACGGCTTCTTTTTGCAAAGGGGGAGAGGGTCAGGAGGCAAAAAATGTTATATTCAGTGTATAAGACGCACCCAGATTTTCACCCTCTTTTTGAGGGAAAAAGGTGCATCTTATACTCTGAAAACTACAGTAATTGCCCAATGTTGCTAAGGTGTTAAAGCAGAAAAGATGCAAACTCTTCAACCTTAGATACAATGTGTTCTCTAGTCAATAGAAGATGGAGTATTTGCAAAGAGTAAAGCCAATTTTCCTAGATGTGGTTTTCCTAACACAGTATTTCCTTCTAATCTTTGCAAAGGCGTTAGCAGTCCTGATATAAATATAAAGGCATGCCAGAATACTGGAGTAAGTTTTTCCACATTAAACAGTCAGTGACAACTAGCATGCCCAGGCTTACATTTTTTCTAATAGTATTGCCTTAGTCAAACTCTTGCTAATAACAGTAAGTAGAAAAGATCATCTGTGATCTTCTCTGGTCTGTGTAAGTTGCTCTTACTACCTTCCAATGGAATTTGCTGCTTGGTTCCTGTGACATCTCTAACCTCCCAGTGACATTCAAACTGTTCTGTAGCTGAACTTTTAACTTGAAGCTCTTCAAACTGCACATAGCTCGATCCAGTTCTTGGGAATTGTTCCTCTCCTTATTCCTACCTTCAGTGGTTTCTTCAGAGCTCTCTGCTCCAGTTCTTTTTCAAACAGTTGCAAATTAAGAATGGAGTTCCGAAGCAGAGGAGATTCCTGTGCAATCCCAGAGAATGAAGAAATATCCGACATTCCTCAAACTGCCCATGATAACTATGCAAACGAGAGCGAAAGAGCCGTGTCAAAGTTGCAGCGCAGGCATAGTGACGTAAAAGTATACAAAGAAATATGTGACTTCTATGCAAAATTGTGAGTTTACCTTCTCGATTGATCTGGGACCTGGGCTACTAGTGTTTCTTCAAGCATAGTCTTGATTGATGTTCATGTGACTGAGTGATATAGCATGACTCGATAACAAGATGTTGTGGAGGTTTTGTAAATTAATCTGGGTATTGTGTGTATTATTTAATGTTTATTTGTTTCTGGTTCCAGAACTAACATCCTTATCGGTCTCCTGATGTGCTCTTCGGGTGTATTACAAATATGAAATGGCAATAGTCTGTAATTTCATATGTAGCCTGAAATGCAACGAAAATAAAATTTTCTAAATTCAATTGAAAATACCTTAATTGGATTGACTAGTGTACAAATAGCTGTGAATCCTAATCCTGTACACAAAGAGAAACTATAGCTTATTTCATGTAGCTCATTTCCTAGTAAATATGTACCACGTTGATTCCTGGCAGAAAAATCCTATATATAACTACTTTGAAATGTTGGACTGTTTCTAGGGAAGTATATATATAGGATTGTTGTTTTAAATTGCAATCCAGGCTACTTTTAGCAGAATATAAATTCCATTTATCATAGTGAATGTTATCTTGGGGCGGAGGGGGGGAGGGAGATGAACCCTGTCATATTCTAACAGCACAAGCTACATATTTCAGACTTTCACACCAGTATTGCAGTCAAAGTTTAATTTGAAGGAATGCAAAAATCAGAGGAAGCTATCGATGTGCATTCCACTTTATGAGTATTATAGAGAGACTGTTTTGGAAATGCTGGCAAAATGAACTATTCTGCAGCTGTCTCAATCCTGTATGGTAATACTGCAGTGTACTTCACTTAATACCAAATGTGAGACAGTTCCTTAGATTACAAACTGTTTTAAGCATAGATCTCCATTGCAAGCATGCCGTGTTGTTCTGTAGCTAGAAGCAAAGTGTTTTATTATGGATTCTAATCTATGTTAAGATAACATTAGAATGCTTGGCACTTCCGAAATTATTTATTAGTGTTTTCAGTAAGAGGAAAGTGACTTGAGTGTTCTTCTAAAATGTTAAGAATAGCTTGTATAGTCATCACACAGGGATGTGGAAAAATTCAGATAGCTGTTTTGCCACAATCAAAATCTACTTAAATATTTTTAATGTATTAGATCAGATAGTTACATTGCATAGAATCAAGTGGATTTCAGATTATTTCATGTGTAACAATTTTCTATAATTTGGTCAATTAACCAAGCTTATGATGTGTGCTACATACACTGAGATGTGAGAATTTGAATCTCTTTATGTAATTCATAAAAAATATGCTGGAGAAAGCTACAAAATATGGACAAAGGAGAAACATCAGTTGGATATGCTGACAAAATACCTGTGGATATGATTTTCCAATTTGTTCCTGCATCTTATACACTGATGAAAAGTGTGATCTATATATGTGTTACACAGCAAAACAACTCAAACACTGATGCATCATTGGGGCAGGGTCTTATCTCAATACTGTTTTATTATATATAGCATATTTAAATCAAATTTACCATAATCAGTGGATATCCTTATGTGATTACCCCATGCCACTGAGGAAAAACAAAGGGAAAGAAATATGAGATATCTAGGCCATACACATCTTTTGGTATGATTACTGGTTCATAAAATGAGGACTCAGATCATTGGGGGCAATATACTGACTCTAATTTCTTTGAGAGGGCTGTCAAACACTGTGAAGGATTTCTGTGAGAATGAGCTTCCCTTTGACTACTACTCTCCTTTAGCTGCTTAATCTGCCTTTGCTACCAACGTCTGATTTCTCAAAGAGGAACCAATGCTAACTGAAAAGGGGACGTCCCCACTGGCTTTCCCCACTGGCTTTCGGGGTAGGGCCAGCATACTACAAATGATTACCTTTTTAAAATAAAATCCATAGAAAAGACTTGTCTTTTTTTATTGCCAAGCTGAATAAGCTGCCTCTTGTCGTAAACACATGATCATCCAGTTACGTTCTCATGCAGTTCTCTTTTGTTACAGCAACATGGCCAATGCTCTTGCCAATGCCATGTGTGAACGCTGCCGAGGAGGCTTTGCACCTGCAGAAAAGATTGTGAACAGCAATGGGGAGCTGTACCACGAGCAGTGCTTTGTGTGTGCCCAGTGCTTCCAACAATTCCCCGAGGGACTTTTTTATGAGGTCAGTTCCTTTGACTTGTTGCTTCTGCCTTTAGAAATTAATCTTTGTTCCAATATTTTGTTTTAAATAGCGAAGATGACATTTTTAAAATCAGGTAAAGTTCCGTGGTGTATCTTGCCTTGCGACCCCAGTTATATTAGAAACCCCAAATGTATCCTTTGATAATGCATTCTGGAAACCAGTTGCCTCACGTTAGATCAGCCTTCACCATCTTGCTTCTCTTTTGGAGTGCTGGGCTCATTATTGCTAGAATTCCAAGATAATATAAATTTACTCATTCATATTGCTATTGACTCTGATAATTGTGATTTTAGAATTTGCCAGACTTAATACCTCTAGCAACTGGTGTTAAGAAAGACTGCAGGTAAATACACGTATCCATTTATGATGTGTTAAATTATCGTGCTTATAATACTTAGTTTTGGTCAGGGTGAAATTTACTTACCTTTTCTACTGGTTTGCAAATGTGAGCATGCTGCACATACAGTGCAGCAATGCACGAATGAATAACTAATAGCAGTTTTCTCTTAGCTCGTATCTTGGTGTCAAAAAATCCAGAGTGACAAAGGGAATCTAAGTTAGTACCATACAAGCAAGGAAGTTCAAGGAACTAGGCCAGTGAGAAAAAAGTTGCCTCTCACATTAATCATTATCATGAGATTTAATGAATGGTAGGTCAGCTACACTGGCTAGGGATATTTATAATAGCCCTGCTACATAAGAAAATCACAATCTAGAGTAGAGGATTAAAGTAAAACAACTATTAGCTATCTACAAATGCTAACCATGCAATATTTTTAATATGGGATATTCAGTTTTCAAAAGGGGATTGTATTTCTTGTTTTTCACCTTGTCTGTAACTCATCTTCAATTAATTTTTGGGGTATTGTGCCATAACCTGAAAACATATTCAGATGCTTCCTACGAGCTAGTGATTGTTATAAGACACTTGCAGTGAATCATAGAGGTGACAGGAATTAAAATATAACCCTGATGGAAACTTTTGCAACAGTCAAAATATTTCTGCTTACTTTGGTCAGGATAGCTTCCTAAAGAAAAAATATTGTTTCCTGAACTAGTACAAAATGATCGTACCCAACCGAGACAGATAAAAGCCAGTTTTATCTTTACATACATAACCAGTATAATATCTCTGCCATGACAATGGAGCAGCACTGTACTTCATAATGTAAAATTTTAAACAGGCTATGAAAAAAGGAGGGGTTTGTTTTGGTTTAACCAATGAACTCCCTAAACCCTTGCTTTAATCCATAGTTTGCAATCTCTTCGAAAGTTGGATAGTTTTCTCTGACATTTCCCCAGAGGAAGTATCCACAGTATGTACAAGAATCTCAACCTTACTATTTTTATAAATAATTCAAGACAGTAAACATATCTGATACTCTTGTCCTATTTTATCCACAAAAACAATTCAGGTGAGGTTAATTGGGCTGAGTGAGAGCAATTGGCCCAAAATCACCCAAATGACTTTGATGCTTAAAGCAGGATTAGATTTATTATTCCTTGAACATATGCCCTCTTAAAGTACTGTAACTAAGAGCACTCATAGGCCATTTGGATTAAATATTACATCTGAATATGTTATAGTTACTCATTTAAAAATCATAAACTATTAAGATAACCAAACTTCAGATAAACTTTTGTTAGGAAGAAAATCTCAGAATCAAATTCAATTATACGCACTTACCAATTTAACTGTGATTTTTTTGTGACAGTTTTTTAGTGTGGTGGTTAAGGTGATGGCCTAGAAACCAGGAGATTGAGTTCTGCCACTAAATTTATCCTACATTTAAGATATTTAGTTTGCTGAAATGTCCTCTCAGGCTTCAAACTGCTGCTCTATGTCTATCAGATTTACTGTACACTTTATGTTTATTAGTAAACAGGCACTAAATTGTTCAGGTTTGTGGTGCTAAATATTTACTTTAGCAGAATTATTAATTAATTAATTTGGAAATATTATCTGCAATTATCAAATTAATGTTTCTCTATAGAGTTACCTAGGAGCAACCTCCATTGAACAAATGTAAGTCCAGAGAAGTAGACCTCCTAGAGTAATAATGGGATAGAACTCAATTAAACAAACATATCTGTTCTGGCCCCCCTCCATCCGGTAATGAATGCAGACACAGGCTTAGCTGTTTGCCACTCTTTATTCACAGCAATTATAATCCTGTTGGCTGAAAGCCCAGATACGACTCACTGGCAAGAAGTTGGCAGCAACTCAGAAGCCAACAGACATGGGAACACAAGGCAGACCAGACAAGGACTTCTCCAGATTACTACGAACAGTTGTGTCCTGCAAAAGGACTCCTCCCAAAGTCTATTCTTATATACTCTCTTGGGAGGGGCCAAGTCACAACCACGTGGGCTTGATTATCTCGTATGAGTCTGTCTTCGTAACTGCTGCCTCCGTTTCTCTGCCCTACGTTGCCTTGCGTCAGGAACAAACTCCCTTTGATCTTCCCCACTGCTCCATGCCTCAGGTGCCTCCTGGTGGTCAACTAGCCTCTCCGGTCCCTGCTCTGAGTCTTAACCCTGCCCAGGAGCCTTCACATCTTCCATAGCAGACTTATAGGGTTCCTCGCTATGGGAATCCATAGGCAGCTCCAACGGCTCCTGCTGGGCCACAACACATATCTATACATACTAGGACTGTCCAAAATATCAGACTGTTTGATATCATGATGATGCCAAAGGAATGTCTTATTCATTTCACATCTGCTTGAATATAACTCTGTTTATTCTAGTAAGTTATCACATGATTTGGAAATAAGGTGATGTTCTCTTGGGCAAAAAAAGATATGACACAAACATTTCCATCTTTCCAAAACTATTTGCCTGGTGCTGCCCTTCAGGAAATGTAAAGAACGGAAGAAACATATGGCTAACAAAACATGTTTCCTGCATTGGATGCTAAAACAGATGTTCATGATGAGAACATCTCTTGATTTTGCGCCCAGATGTAGATCATTTCATCAGAAGCATCATTCATTCATTCATTCATTCTTTACTTACATTATAACCCATATTATGTAAGTGTAGCTTGGTCAAATATGCAATCGTGTTGGAATTTCTCTTATTAGAAACCTTAGCAGTTAAAGCTATAGCCATAGTATATGTGGAAACATACTTACCTCTTCTAATAGGCTGGCCTATTTGTCTTTTTTTAGTTTGAAGGAAGGAAGTACTGTGAACATGACTTTCAGATGCTTTTTGCTCCTTGTTGCCATCAATGTGGTGAGTTTCAGAAAAATATATTTTATAAAGGTCTGATAGCCTTTTACAAGAAGAGAGAGATAAAGCATACATTGTTGTAAAAAGAAAGCTGAATGGTTATTAAAAAAAACAAGGCATATGTCTATTAAAAATGTTTCCTGTTGTCTTTAAGGATTACCCTGAAAATTGCAACCTCTGTAATTCTACCCTGGATTTGAAAACAGAATAAAATCTAAAATATATTAAAATCTTGGCTGGGAAGGGCTTTTCTCAGAATATGGCCACCATATGCCACATCGTATTCATCCAAGAAGAGTTGTATTAAACACTTTTCCAAACTCACAATCAGTTGACACAAAAAACATTCATTCTGTAATAAAATACAGAACATCTTGCCTGAAAGTCTTCTGTGGGTATATTTTTATGCCATGAAATTAAGCTGGAGATTTTGTTAGGACACAATAATGTTTAAACCCAAGCTTGTACTATTTTGATGTAAAGTGGATGTTGCTAAGGAAAAAAACAGACTTGAATGTCTATTTTCCCTTGGTCTGCCCTTAAACAAGAGCATCGAGGCACATAATTTAATTAGAGCGAGATTATAGTTTGTTTATCAAGTGCAAACATGTTGCTTCCAGGAGAATGGAAATTCCTACTGTAATATATAAAATAAAAGAGGAAAAAAATCAGAATTGTTTTCAGTAATATTATGAGAAAAACAAATTAGGAATTATTCGAGTGCACCAATATGCTTGCAGGTATCTGTGTTTTGCACCTGCATATATATATATATATATAAGCTGCTTGATAAAGTCGCTCAAGTTGTGAAAAAAGATCAGTAGCACACATTTTGATTCTGTTTGTTGGGATTCATTGAAAGAGCATTCATGCCCAAGTCAATCCCTTCTGTCAGCTTTGAAAAGAGAGTAATTTGTTGTACATAATGTGCTTGTTCTACAATTATTAGATCTTTTTTCACAGTTAACTCAGGGGTGGGCTGCTAAGGGTTCGCCCAGATTCGGGATTACCTGTAGGTAACGTTATGGCCGGTTCGAGAACCTCCAAATCCCACCCCTGGCTGGTCCCTCCCCTCCCAGGAGTCTCCATGTGGCCTGTTTTGGATGTGGGGTAAGTGTAGGGTTCGTGGGGAGGCTCAGGGAGGGGGGAAACAGGCCTCCTGGAAGTTCCGGGCGGCCAGAAACAAGTTCCTGGAGCCCGGGGGAAGAAGTTTTCACCCTCCCAGAGGCTCAAGGAAAGCCTCCACAGCCTGGGGAAGGTGAAAACGCCCTCCCCCCAACATGGTGCCAGAGACCAAGCAGGCCATGCACACCCAGCAACTGGACAAAGAACCTGTTGTAACATTTTTGAAGCCCACCCCTGAGTTAACTGAATCATATATAAAATACTCTCTGTATCTGTTAGATTCTTACCTACAAGTTACGCCACAAAAATAGGCTAGTCTTTAAGGAGCCCTAAGATTCTTGTTGTTTTACTCATTCATGAGAGACCCAAGATAATGTTAGATTCAGTGGCCTGGAAAAGGAGACATGAAACTGTTTATTTCTATTAAGGCTTGCCTTTCCCCAGCCAAAATGAATAAAGGATATTATATATCAAAGCTCCATAATGGGAAATAGCTTCCTAATAGAAGGAACATGTAGTTAATGAGACATCTGAGAATCATAGCTCTGAACCTGTATTGATTTTTATGTTAAGCTCAGTTATTTTTAATATTCCATCCATCTTGCTGCCAGTCTTTTTATCTTTTTGGCATCTTCCCATTAGATAAAAGTTGTATTTTAATATGCATTAATATGAACAATTGAAACAAAATGATATACCTTGACATGCCAATTACTTTTCTAAATCTACCTAAATATATCAAATTATATTGATAGATTAAATCCAAAGTGCCAAATTTACTATCTAAATATGATGTAATTCCCAGAATTTCCAGCAATCTGTAATACAACAGTTATATTCTTTTTTTTTTGCTTTATATCTGATATTGATAGGATATAAATAGGATTAAAATTAAATATCAGTTTATATTTTGGCAAGAAGAGATTGGACAGCCATTTGTCTGAAATGTTGTAGGGTCTCCTGCTTGAGGACGGGGGTGGACTAGAAGACCTCCAAAGTCCCTTCCAACTCTTTTAGTCTGTTACTCTGTTAAACATCATTTATCTAAATATAGTTATAAGCTATGAAAGTGGACAGTGACAGTAAGAGGGCAGTAATGTTTTATTTCTTTCTTAAACTATCATAATCTCCCAGTTTTTAATAAATTAATAAACTTATTTTAATATCTCCTGTTGAATTTTAGGGGAGTTCATTATTGGTCGGGTTATTAAAGCTATGAACAATAGCTGGCACCCAGAATGCTTCTGTTGTGATATCTGCCAACAGGTACTGGCTGACATTGGATTTGTGAAGAATGCTGGCAGGTCAGTGTTACTTCTCCTCCTTTCATTATAAATTTGTGCATAGTGAATTTTTATAACTTTTGAAATATTTGGAAGCTTCAATTGGTTCAAAATCTGGTAGGTCACATGGTTTTGTGCAAGCCTAGATTTGCACATTTGTCACCTCTACTGCTGGACCTGTATTGGCCACCAATTTCCTTCCAGTCCAATTCAAGGTGTTACTTGTCACCTTCAAAGCCTTAGATGGTTTGGAATCAGGTTATTTGGAGGGCGGTCTCTTCCCAATCAGATCTACCTGAGCCACCAGAGCAGGGAGACAAGGAATGCTTCAGGTTCCCTCTCCTAAGGAGGTCCATCTAATGGGACCAAGAACAAAGGGCCTTCTCCAAGGCAGCTCCATCTCTATGGAACATAATCCTTGCAAAGATAAGATTGGCTCCCACTTTGACACTATTTTGCAAAGCTCTGAAAACAAAGTTCTGCCAAAGGCCTGGTACAAAGCCCATCAAGTCAGCTGTTGGGTTATTGCTGCCAGTGAGGTGGGGAATTATTGCTTTTTGTATTGTTTTTATATTGGGATTTTATCCTTGTAAGCCACTCAGAGTCACCGAGAACAAGTTGGGCAGCCATATAAATTTTCTTAAATAGATAAATCACTTTTACATAATTACGTAAAAATCAAGGCAATATAGTCTTTGACATTGCTTATTCAAAAAAAAAGATATCTTAATGCGAGCAGCTTGCCTTATCTTTTCTTATAAGGAAAGGATATCGTTTCCCTTACAGAAATTGTAGTTAATTTTCTGATTACAAGACAGAAATAAAAATTCAAGTTGAACATTTTTTCCAATATTCTGATATTTCTTACATTTGCTCCTTGATTTCTCTTAGACATCTTTGTCGTCCTTGCCATAATCGGGAGAAAGCCAGAGGTCTTGGCAAATATATTTGCCAAAAGTGCCATGCCATAATTGAGGAACACCCGCTTATCTTCAAGAATGACCCTTACCATCCTGATCACTTCAACTGTGCCAACTGCGGGTAATGGAAACCTATTATGAAAGAAAGTTTAACATTTAAGTGTTGGTATCACAATGCTTGATAGTCAAATTTGAAACCAAAATATCCACTCTTATCAAAGACAAAACAATAAACAAGATATTCCATAAATGATACACATTCCAATCTTGTATAAATCCCATTGTATTCAATAATTAAATCATCAGTTATTTGTGCACAGCACTGACACCATATAGCTATATTAGGATCAAACAACATATAACTGTAATTATATTTCTTTTTTTTTTGATGATGATGATGAGGAGGAGGAGGATGATGATGATGATGATGTTATCCATTCAGTCCCACTCTTGGCAATTCTTTGAGTCAAGTCTCTCCACATCTTCCAATCTTGTACTATTTCTTAGAGGTTTTTCTATGCTCTGGTTAGTGTCAGCTTTGATGGTGTCTAGCCACCATGTTCTTTGACAGCCTAGTTTCCTTTTACCACTAACTCTTACAACATAGAGCCACGGTGGCACAGTGGTTAAAGTGCAGTACTGCAGTTTACTTCTGCTGATCGCCAGCTGTCAGCAGTTTGGCAGATTGAATATCACCAGGCTCAAGGTTGACTCAACCTTACATCCTTCCGAGGTGGGTAAAATGAGAACCCAGATTGTTGGGGGCCATAGGCTGACTCTGTAAACCGCTTAGAGAGGGCTGTAAAGCACTGTGAAGTGGTAAGTACGATTGCTATAATTGCATTCTCTAGTGAATTATTTTTAATTAACAATAAATCTAACAGGGTTTTTTTCTGAATTCATTTCCTACACAATTCCAGTCTGGATTACAAAAGCTCACATCTGGATTTCACATTAGCAAAAAATTACTCACATAGAAAGTTCAAGTGTGGGTTCCCCAATTAGTTACAAAGAAATAAATGCTATTTTTCTAAAGTTATATCCACGTTAATTCCAGGGGTGAAATTCAGCAGGTTCTGGAGAACCGGTAGTGGAAATTTTGAGTAGTTTGGAGAACTGGCAAATACCAACTCTGGCTGGCCCCACAGTGTGGTGGGAATGGGGATTTTGCAATATCCTTCCCCTACCATACCCACCAAGCCATGCCCACAGAACCGGTAGTAAAAACAAAATTGAATTTCACCACTGGTTAATTCCTTGATCCCAAGCCAATTTCCTGGTCAGGTATTGTAGCCTTAATCACTGTACATTCCTCTGTAACACCATTTTATGTAAAAAGTAGTTGGTCTTGTTTAGGTGCAGGCCTGTTCTTCATCTTTGGCTCTTCTCAAAATGTCTCATTTTCTCAGGATAAGGGATTCTAGTATATGTGAACAGCTCAGTATTGCTTATGCAATCACTCAACTGCACTCTACTTTTTCTATTTCATGGCAAGATTAAAATTTCACTTTGAAGGTCATGCGCTCCCAAATTCTGTATCTAAATCAGGATGAGGAACTTTGGCTTTCTTGATTTTCCTGAATTTCCAACAACTCTATGTCCAGTAATGAGCAGTAGTGGTTCTTCAATAGGATGATTAAAATTGTCCAAGCCTGATGTAAACAGTCTGACCAACACTTATCATTCTAGACCAATACCTAGATTAAAAGCCTGTCCCATGCCTAATAAAGTGTGTTCAGTGATCTATACACACGCCAATTGCTATAACTTTTGGCGAGAAAAATGACTTTTTCAGAGAACGTCCAGCCACATTTGAAGTGACTATATTTCAATAGCTTTATATTCTTTCTTTGATTTGTGAACAGAAAGGAACTGACTGCAGAAGCTCGAGAACTGAAAGGGGAGCTGTATTGCTTGCCTTGCCATGATAAAATGGGGGTACCCATCTGTGGAGCATGCAGGAGGCCAATCGAGGGCCGAGTGGTAAATGCTATGGGCAAGCAGTGGCATGTTGAAGTAAGCTTTTTGTTTCTCTATTAGTGTATTTATGAGTATATTCAACCTGGAAGATTCAAGAAGAGTCTTCAAAACATTTAATAAACCCTATGTCATTTTATGAGACATGGTGGCTCAGTGGCTAAAATGCTGAGCTTGTCGATCAGAAAGATTGGCAGTTCTGCAGTTCGAATCCACTTCGCGCAACGAAGTGAGCTCCTGTTACTTGTCCCAGCTTCTGCCAACCTATCAGTTCGAAAGTACGTAAAAAATGCAAGTAGAAAAATAGTGACCACCTTTGGTGAGAAGGTAACAGCACTCCGTGCGCCTTCAGCATTTAGTCATGTCGGCCACATGACCACGGAGACGTCTTCGGATAGTGCTGTTTCTTTCGTTTTGAAATGAAGATGAGCACTGCCCCCTAGAGTTGGGAACAACTAGCACATATGTGCGAGGGGAACCTTTACCTTTATGTCATTTTATAGTGAGGAGCCTTTGTAATGATCTAATCCATAAGGTTTTCCATGAATGGAAATTCCTGAACTGATAGAAAAAAGAAAGAATATTCTGATAGCAAACAATTAGTGCTAGTGCTATCGGAAATTTTTTCGTGTGCATTATAGTGGAATTCATGCTAGCCAGAGAAAATGCTATTGGTATGGCCCAATACTAAGTGAATTTAATTTAGTTTTGATCCTACTTATTTTACATATTTTTACATGTGCTCTATTTTTATGATCTATTTTATACCCATCTGATTTGCCCAGTTTTGGATATTATATGTTTATAATTTGAAGGTGCTTCTGACAAAAAATAAAGAAAGAAGTAGAACTAATTTGCATGTACTTGAAATCTGAGTGGCTGGTTTCAAGTACATATGCTTTTATCACCTGTTGGTATTTTAAAAATAACTAGTATTATAGAATTATTATTTAATGGGAACTTTGCACACAGTTGTGGTATTAAGCTAAGAGAAAGTGCAAGTCCCCTAGAACATTATATATCCATAGACAAGAGTTTTATACAGGGGTGAAATTCAGCAGGTTCTGACAGGTTCTGGAGAACCGGTAGCGGAAATTCTGAGTAGTTTGGAGAACCGGCAAATACCACCTCTGGCTGGCCCCAGAGTGGGATGGGAATGGAGATTTTGCAGTATCCTTCCCCTGTCACGCCCACCAAGCCACATCCACAGAACCAGTAGTAAAAAAAAATTGAATTTTACACATGGTTTTATACAAAGGATTGCAGATAGCAGGTTCTGTTTTGATATATCAGATCGATCTGAATTTTTGGATCACATTATTGTTTATAACAATGTGAATTCAGGAAAGAGTAAAAAGAGAAAGAGGGTGATTTATTTCCAGATTGTAGATATAAGGTGCATTTTACTTCTTTACTCACATAACTATTGGAAAGTTTCCTTTAGAAATCTTGATTAAGTCAGTGTTAGTTGGATAGAGGAACACTTTTTAAACTATTAATTAGAATTTTGGAATTTACTCTGGAAATCTTAGAAAGTAGCCTTTCAAAACTGAGGTGTAAGGAAATAGAGGTTAAGCTAGTGGGATTTTTGGTTTTTACATGAGCAAGAGGAAGGCCAGCCTTCCTATAGTTTGTTCCTGTATATTTGTTAAAAAGGTGAACTTTAATTTGATACCTTAATAATTATATAGAGTAAAGGACACACCTTTTTACCCCACAGCATTTTGTTTGTGCCAAGTGTGAGAAACCATTCCTGGGCCATCGTCACTATGAAAGGAAGGGGCTGGCGTATTGTGAAACCCATTATAATCAGGTATGGTTGCTTCTTGCCTTTTATGTTTTAAATCTCATCCAGGGACACTTAATACCTTAAATCTAAAACTGCAGGAGCACCAGGATAAATGCACCACCCCTGTTGCAGCTCCACCAAAGATCCTTGATAGCAACCATTGCTATCTCCCTACTATGCTGCAGCCTGAAATTCAATGGATACAGCTCTAGATAATCCATTTCCTTTAAGACTGTCTAGCTGCCATCCAACAGCTTTCTCTACAGCTTTATCTACAAGATTTTTTAAAAATATCTTTCATTACTAATTTTACTTCTGATTCAAATTCTGACTCGGACTTATATTTTCCATTTCCACAGCTCTTTGGTGATGTATGTTTCCACTGTAACCGGGTGATTGAAGGAGATGGTGAGTTTCTATGAATATGTACAGGTAGTCCTTGACTTACGACCACAAATGAACCCAAAATTCCTGTTGCTAAGTGAATTTTTCCTATTTTATAACAGTTGTTAAGTGAATCACTGCAGTTATTAAATTAGTGACATGATTCTTAAATTAATATGGCTTCCCTATTGACTTTGCTTGTCGCAAAAGGGGATCACATGACTCCAGGACACTGCAATAGTCATAAAAATGAATCAGTTGCCAAGTGTCTGAATTTTGATCATGTGAGCACCGGGATGGTACAACAGTCATAAATGTGAAAAAATGGCCGTAAGTCCCCTTTTTTGTGCTGTTGTAACTTCGAATGGTCACTAAACAAACTGTTGTAAGTCGAGGGCTACCTGTACTTTCATCATTAAAACATTCATTTCAAAGTAAAATACCCCAAATACCATTGTCATTTTGTACCCAAGATGCTGAACATGGGTCCAAAAGCATTTAATATATTTTATTTATATATTTTAAAAAATGAAATACCGCCCATTCCCTCAGTGGATGCACAATGCCTGATGGGTTCAAAAGTTTTGAGCCTATGAAAATATATGATTCTGATATGAAACATATGGAAGTAACAATAAAATCAAAATGTGTGCACTTTAAAATTAAATCAATCTAAGATAATTCTATTACTTTTTATGCATATTCTTGCTGAGCCTTATTCCATGTGTCTTATTAATGAATGTAAGTCCAGGGAACATCTTTGTAACCTAAGCATATATAGATTATTGCTGTAATGAAGACAATAAGTATACCAACAACAGTATAAATGTTGCTACAGCATATAAAACTTAATCCCTAATGCAGCTCTGAATGGATCTTTCAGACATTGCTTCGCCCCCACCCACCCATCCTTTCAATCAAACATGTCCATAAGTTGTCTTTTAATCAGAATAGTGGTAGCACAATGGTTAGGGTTAGACTTAAGAGAGCCAGACTGATTTGGGGAGACTAAGTTCTAATCTGTTTTAGACAGTGAAAGCCGGTTGAATGACTTGGGCCAGCTAATCTCTCTCAGCCATAATGTCAGCCATTTGGCAGCCAGCCAGCCAATCAATTCTTGGTGCAAGGAAAAAGATAACAGTAGTGATACAAATGTAAAATAAATGTAAATGGACTTGCTTATCTTCAGCAAGGCTTTTAAAACTAGGGAAACGATGGAGGTTTCATAATCTTGGAGTTGTACCTTTAAACCATTTTTCTATTGATTGATAGTAAGTAATGATTTTTTAGTAAATGAATTAGAATATTTTGCTTATCTAATATCGTACTTCATCTTGAATGCCTTCCAAACATAGGCTAGCTCTAGTAGGTCTACCATATTTGTGCTGAAAAATTTAGGACACCTACTACTGTATTTTTCTGAGTATAAGATGCACCAAAATTTTAAAGAGGCAAATTAAAAAAAAAGGTTTTGCACTTTGCAGACCTCCCCAAAACGGCCAGTTTTTCGCAGAAACAGGCCCATTTTTTCTCAAAAAAGGGTATGCATAGCCTTTAGGAGGCTTGTGGAATGCTCCGGGGAGGGGGGGGGGCAAAATTGACCAAAAAACGGCCTGTTTTTCGCTCATTTCTGCCCTACCCAACCCCCAGAGGCACTCTGAAAGCTTCCTAAAAGCTATGCATGGCCATTTTGGTGAAGGGGGTGGGGTTTCCGGTGGCAAAAATGCTGTATTCAGTGTATAAGATTCCCCTCAGATTTTCAGCCTCTTTTTTGAGAGAAAAAGGTTTGTCTTATATTCCAAAAAATATGGGTAGGTGCCAACAGAGTTAGAGTTTGTTATGTCTTCAGTCTGGTCATCTAACTTTGGGGGAATACAGATATCAAGAGTAAGGCCTGGCAATTACCCTTACTGAATTATTTTGTGGGGTGTTGTAAACTTTTCTACTACAGAACATAGGGCAGACTGGTGAAGAAAGATTTTCCTGAAATTGAACTTTTAAAAACTGTAGGCTTAGGCAAATGCAGTGAAGAAAACACTTGGAAAAAATTATGTGCGCTTGTTTTTGGCTGATAACAAATGTAGAATATAAAGGCAAGTTTTCAGTTTCCAGATTTTTTTGGGGGGGGGGGAGTTGCGTCTTATACTCTGAAAAATACGGTACTTACCACGTCTGGGCTCCAGGCAATACTGCCTGCAACAGACATCTGTTTCAGCTCTGTCAGCTGTCCTGTGATACCAGTTCCTGAATTTAGCCTAGAATCAGAGCATTTGGGAGAGGAATAGAAAGGCTAGTGCTGTCCAGAATTTTGAACCGCTAGCCCTGTAATCCCTTTCTCCTGGCCATTCAAGGTGAGGCTTACAGCTATTGATTCACCATATCAATATGTAATGTGTCCTGATTTAAGGGCTAAGTATGATTGTGTTGGTGCTGACATGTTGTACAAATGTCCATCATCACAGGATCAATACTAAATTTTGCCTATGCAAATATGTAGAGTTAGACCACATCTGATGATTTGGACAACCTTGTATTTGTCAATATTAGTTCCATGACATAGGCTATGAATGTATGATAATACATGCAGTCAGTTTTGTTTTGATTCATCTTGTCTTTTCTTTGTTCTTTTGTAGTTGTCTCTGCCTTGAATAAAGCATGGTGTGTAAACTGCTTTGCATGTTCTACTTGTAACACCAAGTTAACACTGAAGTAAGTATACGTGTTTGGGGAAATAATCACAGAGTTGATGATGTCACTTGTAAATTGAGGCCTCCCTTGGAAAATATTTATGATTGTTGCAGAAAGTCTGGAGGAAGAGATGAGGCACACCAAAGCCGTGTCCAAACAAGACAGAAGCTAGGTTATGTTCTTTAATGCTTCTATCTTTCAACGGTGCTTATAATGTTTGCTTTACATTTTTGTGAAATAGAACAAGTAGAAAGGTGTTGTGGAGAACAGATGACTATAAATTTCTATTGACTACAGCTGGATGAAAGTCAAAGAAGTTCAACAGCACAGAGCACTTCGGGACACAGCAACTGTAAATTTAATGAGTTGCTCAAGTTGCTCTTTTAGCACAAGAGATGTGCTAAATATCTGGAATATCTGCAGTGCATTTGGGGTATGTCTCCTGTCTTTAGAAACACATGTGGTCCTTGATATAAGACCGCAGTTGGGTCTGGACCTTCCATTGCTAAGTAATGCAGTTGTCAATTGACTTGTGCCTGATTTTACGATCATGGTCATCACATGGACCATACAATTGTTAAGCAAATCTAGCATCTATTTGGTTGGGAGAAAAAAGATCAATATAGCTCCTCTCTAGAAGGTCTCAGAGTATATCTTTAATGGTGTGTTTAGTTTGGCAAGGTTTTATGGATGAGGAACAACAAAGGAAGCTGCTTAGAAGTAACTCTTATGTGTCTTTCTTGGTTTTTGGAGCCTGATGTAACTACATAACCAGTGTTTGAACTGTGATCATGTGATTGTGATTGGGGATGAACAGTCTTATGTGCAAGGACTGGTCATAAGTCACTTTTTTAGTTCTGCCATAGCTTTGATCTGCCACTAAATAAATGGTCATGAGTTGAGAACTATCTCTAGAAGAGCTTTCATTAAAATCTTAGTACATGGAAGAATGCCCTTTTTTGTTTAAAGCTTGCTGTGATAGAAGTATTTTGCAATACTGCAGTCCATGGAAAATAAATAAGGATATCTTTTCCTATTAGTATATTCACTACTTTCCTTTTATTTCTATTTTTCTGAAGAATTCTTTCTCCTTTACTTGTATCTTGATTCTTTCTTCTTCTCTCCTCCATTCCTTCTTTGCTCAACCTGAAAGGGACAAATTTGTTGAAATCGATCTCAAACCTGTCTGCAGACACTGTTATGAAAAAATGCCAGAAGAATTTAAACGGAGGCTTGCTAAGCGAGAGCGTGAAGCCAAGGACAAGGATAAACATAAAAAGAAAAAGCCTGTCTGTCTGTAAAGCTCTCCTTTCTACCTTTCACCAACTGTGCTCCTCCCTTTCTTTGGTTAGTTTGTGAAAATGTTTTCTTTATGCTTCTTTTGTTCTGGTGCGTAAAACGGTGTTTTTAAAATATATAAATGTTGGATTTCAACACATTCAGCCCCCTGTCTAGACCAATAGGTCCTGTTCCCTGTGATCAGACTTGCTTTTTCCTCCCCCACCCAGGATGAAATCAACTTACCTTTGCTACCAGTTTGCAAATGTAAACGTCTCTGTGCATGCGCAGGGCCTTCGGCTTATGCGCAGAGCGTCAAAAACAGGACGTGATGACGTCCTGGTGGGTGGGCAGAGCCTCCCACCGCTAGCACTTCCGGTTCACCTGAACCGGATAAAACCAGCTGAATTTCACCACTGCCCCCACCTCAACAATTTGGCCCAAGAAAAGTCTTGTGTGTGTGTGAAACTTTGTAATTTCATTTGTGATAGTCTCCTCCTATCCAACCTATCCTATCCAACCTATTTCTGCTCCTATCCAACCTATTTGTTCCACATCAGTTAAAGAGGAAAAGATAAAATGGCTACATGAAATATTTTGATGGATCCCTAAAGCATTATTTATCTTGCAGTTTATGAAACTATTGGTTGAAATTCATCAATTACAAACATTCATTCAGAACAAATCTATTGAGAAAACGTGTAGCATATTAACTTAACATATGCCTTTTTAAAGGTAATCAATTCACTCTTCTAACGTGAGAGATATTTGGCAAAAAAGTTATTTGGAAAAGCATTTTTATCATCTGCTTTATGTGTGAAAATTAGGCTTTTACCCTGGAAATCAACTCCTAGTTTATATAGTCGCAGGACGTGTAAAGTCACTGTATATGACTTCTTCCATTAACACTATCCATATAATTCTACATGCAGATGTTAAGAGAGGAAAAAAGAATTTCCTCTTAAAGAGAAATGTTTCGTTAGATATTATCTGAAGCTTGTAGCTCTCTATTTCACACATGGCTGCACAGTACGGTGGTTTTAAAATCATTTTTTAAAAAACACTTTCAAATACTATACATAGCTGCACGTATAATCAAGATTATATGGAGAAGCCCCCACTCAAAAGTTAAGCATGAAAGCACCCAAAGGAAAAATAGAAATGAATAGAGATGGGGAACTATTAGCCTTCTAAATACCAATCTTTTCTCAAAGTTGTAGTTGTATCTCCAAGATCCAATTCGTTCATCAAAATCAGGGATGTCAAACCCGCGTGCCCAATGCTTAATGCACTGGCCATTCCCACTCCCACTTTAGCGAAAGGAGGGAGGGAAGTCAGGATGCATCACGTGATGACGTGACGTGTTTGACACCCCTGATCAAAATAATATAAGTCTCAATGAAAGCCCCCCCCTTTCCTGTTGCCATGTGCGCACAACATGATAAGTGTGATTATAAAATGGATAGAGGTGGTGAGCAATGCTGCTTTCATTCGTGGCACAGATGTCTCTGCAAAACTTTTCAATGCATTGGTCATACTTTTCCTATCAACAGACATTTGCCGCACTTTGAGAATTTTCAACAACTTTGGGAAGCAGGGTACCATTGCATAAATTAACTGAACAGGTTAATTCTCCCAGTTCTTTTTATCAGCTGTCAAGGATGACCAAGCATTACAGTTTGTTTTTGGCAGCTGATTTCATTGTTAAGTATCTGAAATGCTCATCTTCCACCTTTAGCAGTTGGCCGAAGCAGTCACTGTTTTTTCAGGATTTTTCATGGTTCCTAAACATCAAGATGGCAAAAGTTATGAAACTGAGGACAAGTCATAGAAAAGTTTATTTTTCTATATATGTTGGAAGACATGGTGGTGAAGAGAATCATGCCAGAAATGAAATATGGTATTTATGCTGAGGTAGGGTGGTTTTCTGAAAAAATAATAAGAATATTCTTGAATTTTAATAGGATGGACAGATTTATTGGAAAGTGTTTTCTGACAGATGTTAACCAAGTCTCAGATTGTATAATGTTCTGCTTCTCCTGATTTAAACTGAAATTTTATATATATAAAGAGAAATAAGTTTACTTATGGTGAATTGTGAATATTAATTTGTATTGTGAAGGTTAATTTTCAACAATGTATTTTTTTTTCAGAAATAAATTTGTGGAATTTGATATGAAGCCTGTCTGTAAGAAGTGCTATGAGAAGTTCCCACTGGAGCTCAAGAAGAGACTGAAAAAATTGGCTGAAACTCTAGGAAGGAAATGAGATATTTCATCTTGCTATGCAAAATTAAGGAAACAAGATTCATATCCCCATTTACTTTCATCGTGTCTATGAAATCTATGCTCTTAAAAAATCCTCCTGCATGACTAGCTTAATTCAAAAATATATACCTTGCCATAAAATCTTTAATGTCTTATGTAATGCTATATGTACCTTTTAAATTATGTATTCTGTGTTTATATAGATTTTTAGAGAACTCAGTCTTAAGTGGAAGATTAAAACATAGCCTTTAAATTGCAATAGAAATCACTCTCTTGGACTACTGATGCTGATCTCAAATGAACATCATCTAGCACAGTCTCTCTTACCTAGAATTTTCCAAATGTGCTGATCTTTTAATTTCCAAAATTCTCAACCAGCCCAGCAGATTAGGAAAGCAAATTCTCTTGGCAAATAATCTAGACCTTAAGATCATGTGCCTGCCAGGGAGTGACTCCTGGAGCAAAACAAAGTAAAACTGTTAAAGCTGGCAATTTATAAACACTAAAATCCCATTGAATTTAATGGCTTTCAGCTCTGTAGGCAGATATCGGATTACATGGTTAAGTATATAGAAAAATATTAGAAAAATTCATGGGCTGGTGGCCATAGTATTTACCAATACGGGTCAGAATAATCCCCTCCACCCCAAAATTAGACTTGTGATGTGAGGGCTTTAAAGTATATTTTAACTAATAAATTTTATACTTCATATTATTTAGAATCAGGAAAGGAGATGCATTTCCTTTGATTCTAAACTGTCACCTCTGGTGTTAAAAATTATGAGACAAAAGACTACAGATTTTTTTGTAAGCAATGAGTTCTTGTTTAATATTAGCTTATGAACTGATAAGACATTAGTTTTCCAATATTATGTTGCTATCGTAGGAAAATGGCAATTGCAAACATTCTTAAGATTTAGGAAGTTTATATTCTTATCAGGACATCTTGTTGATTCTGTCTTCAGCTCAACAGAAATAACTTAAGTTATTGAGATTCTTTTTTTAAAAAAAGTAGTCAAATTGGGGATGAATTGTAAGCAAACCATAACCCAAGCTATCACAAGTGCAGAAATGATTTGTTCAGAAAGTTTCTGATAATGGTAACTGTTTGAGAACTGCAGTGAATACTTTCACATTCTGGTAAGTCTGAAGCCCAAAGTGTGAGATGCCAATATATTTCTGTGTCAACAGAGTTCAACTACTTGAATTTTATAAGGATTTTTTTCTTGGAACCTTTGGTATTTTATTTCCCTGTGCCTTAATTATGCTGTATATTTACAAATTATTCAAAATATTTACTCATATTATTTTATTAGGAAATATACATCTTATACTCTAGGAAGTGGCATATACCAAACATTTTGAACTTTGTTTAAAATAATGGAACGTATTAAGGATGCAAAGCACACTTCCTTTCCCTCTTCAGCTCACTTTTTTTTAAATTTTACATGAAATAAAAACTGAACGTATTTCAATTATGGACATGTACTGTGTTAATGAATCAACAATATAGTGACAATCATTTGTTATTTATACTTGGACAGGACCTAAATGAATATTGCAAACTTCAGTACTCGGAAATAAAATTATTTGAGTTCAATGGTACCTAGGTTATTTAATAATACTCTTATCTAAAATAAGCATTTTGAACTCAAAGAGATTTACCTATAAGTAAAAATGTTGATTGCAGTTTTTGTTTAAAAAATTCTGAATTCCGAAGTACAATATATATTTTCACTAATAAACTATTTTGAATTTTACAACTCTGAAGTTTAAAAATCTTATGGTATATTTTTTAATGTTTAATAATAACTTATTCAATATCAAATATTTAAAGAGATTAAAGCATAAACCTCAATCCTATTTTAATTTCTATAGTGTGAACAATAATTAAAGCATCCTGCTGTAGAGAATTGTAACATCCAGAACATCCTATAGCAGGGGTGGACAAACCCAAGGGCAGGTACTGCCCCAGCACACCTAAGCTGTATCATCAAAGTTCAACAACAACTAACCCACTTTAATAGTGGCCAATTGCCTTATTCATTTATATCCATCCCATGGAGATAGATATCTTAAAGATAATTGATATGGAGATACTTCTATAGAAAAAAGAGGAAAAAAGGAATTTTGCAAATCTCTCTATTGAAGATATCTTCAGGGAAAGAATTCTAGCTTGGGAATAGTCAGGTTTTCCATCCTACAGAAAGGATTATTTTGTGGCAGAGGGAATAAATACGGTGACTTTGCAGTATCTGGTTTAGAAATTATTTAACAACCATCCAGGTACCTTTATGTGGCACATGTTAATCTATCCTTAGGTTTTAAATTGGTAGACAAAATTAATTAGGTCGATGACCTCAAACATGAGAAAACTGATGTGTCTGATCCAGGGGTGGGTTCCGGCCAGCACTACTATCAGTTCACTTGTGTGCGTGCCTTGCGCGTGTGCTTAATGCATGCTGTGCATGCATGTGCAATTAAAATTGTTCTGTGCATGCACAGAACTGAAAAACAAGATAGCGGTGCCAATGGCGCCGATCAGGGAACCAGTTCAAGGGCGTGGCAGGCCTGGGTCGCTGCCTGTTCCAGAGACCCAGGCAGCCAAACCACTACCGGTTCGGACGAACCGGTCTAAACTGGTAGGAACCTCCCACCGGTCTGATCTATATAAAATGGTATTTCTATGCAACTGCCTATAGATGAAATATGGCTATTTATTGGAAAAAAATAAGTGAAATGCAGTAGTTGTATCCTAGTGCCATTTCTCCCCCATCGTTTTTCTCTTATCATCAGTGGCTAAAGGGCTGTTATATTCTGTTATATGCAGATAAGATGGCTTTCAAGGACACAATTTGGTTTATGCAGACTTTGAAAAACTTGAGCAAATTGCAGGTTGCAGTCACTCATAATTAAATGTCAGTGGGTGGGAAAAGAGAACAGGAGCTCTCCTAATTACTATAGTGTTTTTGATTACAGTGCTCTCCAGCAAATATTTTAAATTTCTAGTTACTAATATATCCAGTGGCCTTAACATATTACTTCTTTATACATATTAATTTCCAAAGAGAGCTTTAACGATTTCCCTCATTCAAACTGGAGTTCCCTATCACTACTTTGGTGTGCTCACTCAGACAGCTTAATGGGGCTTTCACTTTTAGACCTGCTTTTAACTCAGAGAAAGTGGATAAAAATAAATTCTTCCTTGAACTTCTTGGAATTCCAATCCCTTGGTAAAGCTTTCCTCATGGACTCCCAAACTGTCCTCTTCAAATGCTTCACTCATTTTCCACTAGCCAGTCCACTCTGCACATTTTTTTTCTGATTCTTATTCCTTAGTTGCATCCTTCCTGCAGAGATCCTTTCTCCAATTGTTCCTTGATTCGCACATTATCAACCTACTGCATTTGCCCTTATCTATTTCCACTAAAACCTAAATATACCTGCTCTTAGATGCCTTTAATTAGGCAAAAAGTATAGCATTGGGAAAAACAAAAAAAACAGAACCTCAATATTTATAATGTCCTAATCAGGCATCTCACCTGCCCATTTACCCGAAAACCAAGATAATGGGGTTTTTTTTGCCAAAAGAAAAACCTAAATGGTTTCTTGATGACAATACACCGAACAAGTACATTATTCTAAATATCTTGGTATTTACTTTTTCCAAAACCACTTTTACTTTTGCCATGATCTCCACACATAACTGATGCTAAAATGAGGCCCATGTCCTAAGGCTTAGGAGGGAAACTATTACTGAAGACAATCTGAAGTATATCACTGCAATTATATGAACTGTGGTACATGTCAGAAACAATAGCAATATGTTTTGTGATCATAGAGCCACAGTTTAGCAAGCCTGTGCCCTCCACCCAATGAGCTCAGTAGATGCATGCCTGACAAAACAGCTAAAAAAATGACAAAGACTTCCAGTTTACTGGTGACCATTGATATCAGTCAATTCTCAGCCATCTCCATGGCATTCTTGCTATTTCTAATACTCTCCAGACTGACGAACAATGCAAGAATGGCTGGGAGCTAGGTACATTCCTAAACATTATTCTCACAATCTTCTACTGACTGTTACTTCTCAGGTTTGATGGAAAAGAGATATCATGGTTTACCAAGTGGGCCAGATACTATCCTAGGATCCCTAGGTTAACTAACATATGAGCTGTGGTGGCGCAGTGGTTAGAATGCAGTATTACAAGCTAATTCAGTTCAATGCCAGGAGTTCCATCCTCTATGGTTCAAGGTTGACTCAGCCTTCCATCCTTCTGAGGTCAGTAAAATGAGGACCCAGATTGTTGGGGGCAACATGATGATTCTGGAAACTGCTTCGGGCTGTAAAGCACTATGAAGCGGTATATAAGTTTAAGTGCTATTGCTATATGTGAGATTGAGATTGAGAAGTTTATTTATATGCCGCCCTTTTCCCTGGGGGGACTCAGGGCGGCTTACAACTCAAAAAGGGGGGGGGGGGACAAACATTTAACACATAGGACAATACGTCATTAAAAACACAACATTCGTACCATTCGGGTGGGTTACAATCTTTAGCCCCAGGCCTGACGGGATAGCCAGATTTTGAGGGCTGTGCGGAAGGTCTGGAGGGTGATGAGGGTACGAATCTCCATGGGGAGATCGTTCCATAGGGTCGGAGCTGCCACCGAGAAGGCTCTCCTCTGCGTGGTTGCCAGTCGACATTGACCGGCAGATGGAACTCGGAGGAGGCCTGTCTATGGGATCTAATAGGTCGAGAGGAGGTGACTGGCAGTAGGCGGTCTCTCAAGTACCCAGATCCACTACCATGAAGGGCTTTATGGGTGACAAGTAGCACCTTGAAGCGTACCCGGAGATCGACAGGTAGCCAGTGCAGCTCGCGGAGGATAGGTGTTATGTGGGTGAAACGAGGTGCCCCCACAATCGCTCGCGCGGCCGCATTCTGGACTAGCTGAAGTCGCCGAATACTCTTCAAGGGCAGCCCCATGTAGAGCACATTGCAGTACTCCAGCCTAGAGGTCACAAGGGCACGAGTGACTGTTGTGAGAGCCTCCCGGTTCAGGTAGGGGCGCAACTGGTGCACCAGGCGAACCTGGGCAAATGCCCCCCTGGTCACAGCTGACAAATGGTGTTCAAAAGTCAGCTGTGGGTCCAGGAGGACTCCCAAGTTGCGGACCCTATCTGAGGGGCGTAGTGTTTGACCCCCCCAGCCTGAGAGATGGAATACTGTGATCTGAATATGGCTCTAAATTGTCACCAAGACCTTCTGCAAATAAATACATTCCATTTAGCCACACCATTAAAAATACTGAAGTTTTGCTAAGAAGGTAGCAAGGTCGTGGACAATATAAGCCTTCATGCTGAACCCTATCAGAAAAAAGACAAAACTCCCACTAATACGGCACTCCCCAAGACTGATGAAATATTGTGAGAAAAAAAAAACATTAATTCTAGAATTAAAATAAAATACAAATATTTTGCAAACTCACCTAGGTTCTATAACTAACATTTGCATTTAATTTCTCTTAAGCAAGGCACATACAGTAGAGCTTGTAAAATTAAGTAAACTAGGTTTCATTACAGTACATAAAATATTACTTCATTAGAAGACTGCCGCACTATAGCATATGTCAGTGATGGCGAACCTTTTTTGGCTTGCATGCCATAAGGGGGGACGTGGGGTCGTGCACGGGCATGCCACACCCATAATGCAACATGTGACTCCCCCCCCAGTTTGCATGAGGCGCTCCCCCCATTTTTTGCATGCTTTTTTCACCCTCCCCAGGCTCCAAGGGCTTTATAGGAGCCTGGGGAGGGCAAAAACAGCCTCTTGCGTACCCCCAGAGGCCATCCGGAGGCTTCAGGGACCTTTAGGAGGCTTCAGGGACCTTCCTGTTTGCTCGTAGGGCCGGTTTAAGCCCCTGAAGGTTCCTGAAAACTCTGAGGGCTTAAACCGACCCTACGAGCAAACTGGAAGTCCGTTCCTGAATTTCCGGTTTGCCCATAGGGCTGGTTTTTTGTGCTCCTGAGGCTTCAGGGAAGTTCCTGAAGCCTCCGGGGGTCGGGGGTAGGCTCTTTTCACCCTGCCCAGGCTCCTATAAAGCCTCTAGAGCCTGGGGAGGGCAAACAATGGCTTTAGAAAAGGCTGAACACCTTGTGTGCCCTGACAAATGGCTCTGTGTGCCACCTGTGGCACGCATGCCATAGGTTCACCATCCGGGTATATATGGAAAAGAAAATATTGGCCAAATTTGTGGGTTTCAAATATCCATTTTCTGACAAATAAATAAAAGATTTGTAGGAAAGTTGCAGCAGCTTTAGTTGCAGCAGCTTTTTCACCTACAGTAGTGGCCAAAATTGTGGAAACCTTTTGGGAAGTATATTTCTGAGGTTGATGACTAATAACACCACTTTCTTTTGGAGTTTCAAGATAATCATATTCTACTTCTGGAATGGCCTGCGAATAACCCAGACCATAACCCAATTGAAAATCTATGGATCAAACTAAAGAAACTTGTTAGTCAGAAGTGACCCAGCAATAAAACCCAGTTAATAGAAGCAATCATTCAATCTTGGTTTCACATTATAACTAAGGTGACCAGACATCCCGATTTTGGTGGGACAGTCACAATTTCTAACAATTTGTCCCGTGTCCCGAGGCGTTTTTAAAAAGTCCCGATTTTCTGGCTTCATGTTGAAAG